CAACAAGAATTGTTAAAATTATTGGCCTGCGAAATGATGTCAAATTTTTGGGACACTCCGTATAATCAATATAAGAGCAATAGAAGAGCAATAACAGTTAATGGACAAGAGAAAACTATTTTCCTGAAAAAAATGTTTTAATAGAAAGTATAAATATATACCACATGTAATTCGAAAATAAAATAATAATACCGGGTGGACCCCCCCCCCTCAAAAAAAAAATTTGACATCATTTTCAAAGCAATTCTCTTGAAAACTACCAAGTCTAGCGCAATTAAATTGAACAGTTTAGGTGTTGAACATCATAAGTTTATTCTGGGACCGATTTCCTAAGTGCTTAATATGTACACCGCCTGTGACACTATACACGTCAAGTAGGTAGTTAAGCTCTTGCCAAACAGGCTGATGTTGATGATGGTCTGCAAAATCCTTTATCCCTGCATAAGCAGCCTTTCTCTTTAATTTTTTGGTACCAAGTCCAAATTTGTTTGCAACTTGGTGAAGTTTTTCCAAATTTTGCATTGAAGGCACGCTTCATTGTCTTGGTTGAGCGTGTGCGAGCATATTCCAAGACGCAAAAATGACTTCTCTTTGGGAGTGAGCGGTATGGCTCAACCTGAAAACAGAACGAAAATAAAACATTAAATATAAAATCTTGATCGATTTCTATACATTCCGGGAAAATTTGAGGTTACTTCAACAAGAATTGCCAAAATTATTAGCCTACGAAATGATGCTAAATTTTGGGGGACACTCTCTATATACAGCATGTTAAGTCATATGAGACTCCATCTGTCTATCTGTCTATATACACTATTTACATTATTCGGACTATTGTCCTCATCTTTGTCACCACATTTATTACAACGTCTCGGTCGTTGTACGCTCTGGCCTTCTTCAGGTGGTTGGAATTTCGAACGGAACCCTTTATTTCGCTCACTGGGTAGACTGATCTAGTTCCACGTGCCATGTTCAATGGATGCCAGTTGTCAGTTATCTCCTGTTATTTCCCCCTCTCCAAGTTCTCCACTGCCTTAACCGAGTTTTTGAACTCACACTCTTTGGGTCCTGTCACTAGATCTAACTAACGACTTTATCCACTGTGTCTTTGAGTATATCTGTGTTGAATTTCTGGCTATTGTAAACCTAATGTCTTCAGCAACCATTTTTTACCATGTCATGTCGCAATTTTTGCTGTTATCATTACACGTTTTTACCAGAGCTCATATTGCAATTTTTGTTGTTATTATCTCCTTTCTTTGGCACTCCTTATTACTGGTTCCCATATTGTATTCATTTCTATGCTTGGTTGGCTCAGGAAATCTCCTGAAACGTTGTAATAAATATGGCGACAAAGATGAGGACCATAGTCCGATTAATATAAATAGCGTACATAACACCTCATCTCAGAAATATAGACAGATATTGAAACGCCGAAACGTTGTAATAAATATGGTGACAAAGATGAGGACCATAGTCCGATTAATGTAAATAGTTTACATAATACTTCATCTCAGAAATATAGGCAAATACTGAAAGGCCGAAACGTTGTAATAAATATAGCGACAAAGATGAGGACAATAATCCGATTAATGTAAATAGTGTACATAATACCTCATCTTAGAAATATAGGCAGATACTGAAAGACGGAAATATTCTAATAAATATGGCAACAAAGACGAGGACAATAGTTCGAATAGTGTAAATAGTGTACATAATATCTCATCTCAGAAATATAGACATATTAACTATATATTAATGAATTATTAATTATGTTAATTGGGGTTTGTCAGCAAAAAGATAAGGGTGAGAACTATGTATTCGGGATGCCAAAATCGAGCTGCTCTCGCAATTGGAAATACCAAAATCAACCAACTGGGAAGAAACGTGTAGCAACAGAAATGTGATCCTACAGAAGGATGCTGATAATTCTACGGACCGAATATGTGAGCAACGATGGAGTTCCAGAAAAATGGAAACAAGAAAGACATATTTAACATCAGGAAAAAACAGTTGAAATTTCTAGGGCACATAATGAGGAAAGAGGGTTTGGAAAATTTGATAATCACAGGATAGACTGAAGGGGCAGATGAAAACAACGCTTAACTTACCTAGCGATCTTGAGTCAATGGATGGCGGAACAAGGTTTAGAAGAGATAACAAAAAGAGAACATTTATTAAGAGCTACAAAGAACAGGAAATTGTGGAGAGCCATGATCGCCAATGTCCTGAAGAATGGGTAGTGGAGCAATAGACGACGGAATACGTGGCACAATAATAAAAAAAAGCCACACAGGATTAATGAAAAATGATTTATGTCTGAATTTTCGGGACCTTTTTTGACATTCGAATTATTGTCATTATTTTTGTTGTTTTTATCATAAACATTCTGATTGAATAACGGGTTCAGTTCACTCCTGCCCCAGTTTATTCAGATTGGCAAGCAGTTGAAGAGGACCGGAGTGTCGAAATGTTGTCATAATATTTGATTTTATTGTTTAACAGTGTATCAACTCCTTATGAGTCATGTAATGCTGGAATTTAATTTTTTTGGTAGCTTTGAAGTAATGAAAATATGATATATATCATTCTGCTTTCACAGTTGAATAGATGGTAGATGATGCTCAGTTTTTGTTCATATACATGTTTGTAAGGACATAATTACTAGAAGCAGTGATATGTGTGTTCTATGCTGTAGTTTTGTTGAAGTTATATTTTGGAATACAGTTATCTATCATTGTTAAACTTGTTGCTATTTGACATACATGAGGAGTGGTGTTGTGTTGCTTAGCAGTAAAAAAAAGGAGGAATGATTTGATTTGTTTTTTTAATGACATATCATCTCTTTAATGCTGAAATTTAATTTTCTGGGGAGCTTTAAAGTAATAGAAATATGTTATTCTCCTTTCATAATTGAATACATGGTAGATGATACTCAGCTTTTGTGCATATACATGTTTGTGTGGACATAATTACTCAAGGCAGTGATATGCGTGTTTTATGGTGTAGTTTTGTTGAAGTTATATTTTGGAATACAGTTTGATTTCTTTAAGAAATTGTTGGATATTATACAGACTAATGTTATGAAAGGTCCTTTCATATTTGTTGTTTGGTTGGTTGAATTTCTTTAGTGGCATATCAACACCTCTATGGGTTATTCAATGCTGAAATCTCAAAGATTTTGAACACAATTGTATAGCTTCAACTAAATATATTTTGAACGCAGTTGTATGCCTTCAACTAAAAATAAAATGTATTGTTGGTCATTTTGCTTTAAAAATGTATAGTTAGTCATTTTATTATAATAATACGTTGTTGGTAATTCTTTTATAAAAAAAATGTATTGCTAGTATGTTTACTATAAGAATGTATTTTTATACTTTCATAGTATTTTGTTTTTGTTTGGGGGTTTACTATTTGCCCATAGCTAGGACCCTAACAGGTGCTACTACCTAGGGACAGAGTGGATCTGGAAACAACAGCAAGTAAAATGTGTTTCCACGCTCCTCACAACATCTAATCTCCTTACCACCGGATGCATTATAATTTATCGTCATATAAACATTTTTACTGCTGTAGGATATTACATGGATTAATGTCATAAAAGAGTTCTGTCATATTTGTTGTTTGGGTGATTTCGTTTTGCGGCACGTCAACCTCTACGGACTATCCTATGTCGAAATCCAAATATCTTTATCGCAATTGTATGCCTTCAACTACAGATAAAATGTATTTTTGGTAATTCTACTCTAAATATATATCGCTGGGTACCCCACCATAAATATATATTTTTGGTCAACCCACTTTAAAAATGCATGTTTGATCACCCCACTATATATATATATGTATAGCTAGTCACCAGACTATAATTATATATCGATGGTCAACCGACAATATATATATATCGCTGGTCACCCCACTATATACATGTATTAGGGTCACCCGACTATAAATATATATTTTTGCTTCGAGGATTCGCTATTTGCTCATAGCTGCGACCCTAACGGTTGCTACAACTCCGGGTCAGGTCGGTCTGGAAACAACAACAATTAAAATGTGGTTCCACGATCCTCAGAATCTCCAATCTACCAGACGTCTTACCACCGGATGTATTATAGTTTTTTGTCAAAGGGACATTTTTACTTTATTATAACATTCATACGTCAATTTTTCTCATTATTATAACATTCATACGTCATTTTTTTCATTATTATAACATTCATACGTCATTTTTTTTCCATTATTATAACATTCAAACGTAATTTTTCTCATTATTATAACATTCATACGTCATTTTTCTCATTATTATAACATTCAAACGTCATTTTTCTCATTATTATAACATTCATACGTCAATTTTCTCATTATTATAACATTCATACGTCATTTTTATCATTATTATATAGGCTTAATAACATTATCATTGAAGGACGAAAGGAAATCACCATATTGATATATGTTTAAATCCAATCTAAGCTTTCGGCATACATAAGCCATTATCAAAGATGACAATTACTTTTCAATATATCAACCAATACACGGAACAATAATGATAGTCTGTTTTTGTTGCACGAAAAATTTCAAAGCAACGACTAACTCGTGTATACGAGACGCGGAAGCGAAAATCGCGTCGCAGCTCGTGACGTCACACATGACTACGTGAGAGTGAAAACGAGAAATATTATGTATGGGAAACCGTTGGTATAAACCAATGGCTTCTGTTATCAATTATAGGCATTTAAGAATGTTTGTGGAGATTTCGTAGTTTATTTTGTTCAGGTTAGGTTTCAACTGCTTTATGTATATAGCTTCAAGAATTTTTAGTTTTTGTTTAGTTTCCATGTTTAAGTATAGTTGTGTTTATATATATATATGCTTACTTTAGAATTTGTCTCAATATTCTGCTTGATGTCAGTTAAACACAAAATATCTATTATTTGCACACAATTCATTATTACTGCATGATTTGGAGAACTTAACGTAGTGTAATTGTTAGCCAGCTTCTCTCTCTCTCTCTCTCTCTCTCTCTCTCTCTCTCTCTCTCCCTGTCTTTTGCTAGCAAATAATTACTAATTATTACACTAGTATGAATGCATGTCGCCATTCAATAATAATTAGTAAGTTAGTATCGGTGACTATTGCTACAACGATGACTACAATCTTCATTAACTGCCCTAAAATTTTGATCATATCTCAATTTAAGTGGATTAGCCTTGAGAAATAGTTAACACTGTAGACCATTAAAATTAGTGAGCAACGTCTTCAGAACGTGCTCCAATATAAATAGCGTTGTGCACGCATATATGGTTTGGCGAGCTGAAGAGATACCGATTTGAATGACCAAAGGAGTAAACTAGGCTGCAAAGCTACGTATGCAACCAGTGCGGGTATGATACTGCATCGCTGGGTGTAGGGTTTACCTAAACGGAAGTCAAAGGTCAGAGAGGGGCTTCCCAGGTGGAATCAAAAACTATGTGCCCCTGACCAAGTTGAGCCTTGAAGTTGAAGAACATTGGTTAGAAATATGAACGCCTACGCCCTGATACGATTAAAATTTTTAAAAAATGTCCGGCACGTGCTTGCACCTAGTGAATATTTTCCTCAAAACGTCATTAGTTTTCGTTGCGTTTTCCTCGCATTCTTCGGATTAAGCATGAAGAAGAAAAACGTTTTGAAATCATCAGTAACTCGACAAATATGTAAACCGAGACTCCGAACGACGTTGGCGATATTAATCGTTCTTTCCGAAGTTATAGGAAGCCAGTATTTTTATAAAAAAAAAAAAAAAAAAAAAAAAACCTCACGTCGTAAAAAGAATGCACGCAAAACAGTAAAGTGTTGATTATGTCAGTTGACGATCAAGAATTAGAAAGAAAAAAAATTATTTCCCCAGAGCTATGAATTAAAACTTCACCAAAATGGCATCTCGGATAAAATATAACATTAAACAAAATAAAAGTAAACACCTTCAAATTCAAGTGATATAATCTGTTGTCAACAATTGCATACGATGACAGGAATTTCTACTCTACCAAGATTTGCAAGAAAAATAAAAGGGAAAACGATTTCAAAATGAAAATAATACGTAAACTTGCAACAGCAAATTAAATACAGCGAGTCCCCACCTATTCGCGTTTCAGCATTCGTGGCTTCACTTATTCGCGGATTTTTCTTTAGAACATGTGTACTTGTTATTCGCGGAAACCCCCAAAATTCGCGTATTTCTTTTTAGAACATATGTACAAATTATTTGCTGAGAACTCCCTCCATTCGCGTAGTTTGTCGATAGAACATATTTAAATTATTCTTGTGTTATTTTCCTGTTATTTAAGTGACTTAAAACATATAGCAGTTCATTTTTATGGTAAAAATTGACAGAATTGTACATCTTCATTGTAAAAAATAAACAAACCCAAAAACATGCAAGGTACTTGGGCTTTGTTAGGGGCTGCGGCTGGGGGTCTTAAAAGTGGCTTATGCTAAGTCTGGGGGAATCATCACAGTTCTGTTTTTAGAAAATGCTTTAAACTTTATTTTTTATGTCTTGTTACAAATATTTTATACAGTATTTTTAATGGTTGTATCGATCTATGCATATAAAGATTATAAAGTACGAGGCGGAAACTATCTTAAAAATATAGACACGCACACCAGAAACTTATATAGTAACTAGATTATAAAGTACAGACCGAAAAATGCCTTAGGAATTGAGACACTCACCAGAGGCTAATATAGGAACCAGATTATAAAGTGCAAACGGGAAACTATATAGACACACAGACCGGAAACTGATATAGGAACCAGATCATAAAGTGTTAACGGGAAACTATATAGACACACAGACCGGAAACTGATATAGGAACTAGATTATAAAATACAAACCGGAAAATGTCTTACGAATACAAACAAACTCCAGAAGATGATATAGAAACTAGATTTTAATGTATATACCGGGTAATGTCTTAAGAATATAGACCCACACACCGGAAACTGATATAGGAATTAGATTATAAAGTACAATGCAGAGAATGCCTTAGGAATATAGACACACATTTACATTTTTTATTGAAATGCTTCAAAGAAAATGCCATTCTACGATAGCCACATAAAATATTAAGAACATACTATCATAGATATTAGACCTACGCATTATCTACCGAGAAATTGAAAAAATGAAAATAACTAACTTTGAAATAGCTAGAAATGCTAAGAAAACATCAACACTTTATGTACTAGTAGCAGGTGGAAATATGTTGGAATAACAGATCTAAGAGATATATAAATTTTTATATATCAAGAACAATACTGGGGAAAAATGTATGACAAATGGGAAAAAAAGTAAAAACTTAGTGATTACTAAACAAAACAATAATTAAAAACTTGAAGAAGGAATTTATTCTGTCGCCGGTAATAATTGTTACAAAAATACATAGAAGAAATCTCAAGGAATGTAAATAAAAGATTATATGAACACAAAAGGGACATTTTACAAAATAATACATCAAACGCATTGGTTACTTATCGTAATGAGACTAGTCACAATTTTGACATAAAGATGCTACCCTGATCATGAGAGAAAACAATTCACAAGGACAAAAATGTTTAGAGAATGCTTTCATTGCAAGGTCATCCAAAGAAAATTTTCCCCCCACCCCCGAGCTCTTACAATATTTCAACGTTCCTGGCAGATCTTCTATTAGCATAGCGTGGGATGTCTAAAAACAAAAGTGATGTAAACAAAATCAATACTTAAATGAATTCGGCTAGATTATTTACGAAAAAATGTTAATTTTAAATTCCCAACATCCCTCTTTCGTGCGCATGTTTAGTCACACTAACGTAATAAATTTAGTCTGATGAAGTCCTAAAGGACGAAACGCGTCCACACGAAAATTTTTTCACAATTTGTCGAACATTCATCCCCTCATATATATATATATATATATATATATATATATATAAAAGTGAACATTGAAGTCAGCACTCAGAGGCGGCAGACTGTTTCATGCTAGGCGCAAGCGTCAGGCCGCGAATGCTGGATTTTTCCTCGACTATTTATATATATGGGTCAGTGGTGCATTGTGGGTAATCTATTCTAGCGGTTATTTATACGGGAGTGGCTTGTTTGTTTGTTTATTTATTTATTTTTGGTTAATTTATTTGTTTTTCATTTTCATTTTTATTATTTATACTTTTCGGTTTTTGATGTTTAATTAACGTAGTAAAAAAAAAATTGGCGGGGTATTTGCTTAGGTCGCTTATTTAATAGTCTTGGTCTGGGAAGATTAGTTATATATATATATATATATATATATATATATATATATATATATATATATATATATATAATATAATAAATATATATATATATATATATATATATATATTTTTTTAAAATATGATTCCTTCGCTACATAAGTTCTCATGTTTCAAAATGAGAACCGAAACAATATAATTATTAAAATTAAGTTGAATCAAGGTGTTGGCTCCGTTTCATCTTCAAGCGAAAATTTAAGAATAAGCTATCTTGTGGTTTGCGCGTTAACAATCTGACCACCTAACCAAGATGGCGGGCCCAGCCGTTTCCATAGTAATTAATGTTGCAATGGACCATACTTATAAACACGCGCAAACCAAAAGATAGCTTATTCCTAAATTTTCGCTTGAAGATGAAACTGGACCCAACACCTTGATTCAACTTAATTTTAATAATTATATTGATGGTTTCGGCTCTCGTTTTTGAAACATGAGAACTCTTATGTAGCGAAGGAATCATATTTTTAAAAAAAATATTTTAATATAAGCTCTACTTCTGTATGGAGCACTGTCTTCTTAATAATAAAAACAAAAATACTAAGGAACTCCGGATTATTTACTTGATGTGTTCCTTCCTATTTTTCTGCATACTTGCGCATATATATATATATATATATATATATATATATATATATGTGTGTGTGTGTGTGTGTGTGTGTGCTAAAACCTGGACCCTATACCGAAAGCACATAAATCAACTTGACACCTTTCACATGCGCTGTCTTCGTGCCATATGTGATATAAAATGGGATGACAGGGTCAAGAATAGTACAATACTGAAGAAATGTAACATCACAGGCACTGAAACCATTCTGGCAAAGATACAACTTAGGTAGGTTGGTTATTTTGGTTGAATGGGTAAGCATAGGCTTCAAAGAAAGGTGTTGTATGGACAACTACCAAATTCCAAGCGTTCAGTTGGACGTCCACTCTTACATTACAAAGCCAAATTAAGAGACAATTTCAAACGTCTCAACTTTGATCTGAAAATCTGGAGAGCCCAAGCATCAAACCGAAAGGAGTGGCGTAAGATATATTTCATTAAGTTAAAGGGTTTTGAAGACAGTAGACTGAAGCACCATGATCAGCTTCGTCAAGCTCTGAAGCAAAGATACCATCAACATCCTGCTTTAACAAATTTCATTTGTCAGTGTGGCTTTGTCGCCCGCAGCAAGGCTAGGCTAGTATAACACTTAAGAAAGCACAAATGAAATATGTCTTTCCCTTACCTGATTTTGCCCGTGCTAGTATGCATAAGTGTAGAAAACGAAAATAAAGGCACCATCCAGTGCTGCCCTCATTTATAGTTCCCGATAAGAGATTCCACTATATATATATATATATATATATATATATATATATATATATATATATATATATATATAAACTGTGTATTTTTTATTCAGCAATCCATGTTTCATTAAAGACGACAGACAATGTACTGCGATGATTAAGCATTTTATTAATTTTTTGTTGTGT